TTCCGAGATTCTTAATTTTTTCCCACTTGGTGGAAACACCTGGAAATAGCTGCTTGGGTGACTCCCAACTGATCTGCTGCAAGCTCTTGTTGCCATTGCGTTGAGTCTTCATCCAGTAGAACTTGTACGATTCCACATCTTTGAGCCTTTCGAGGCTGTTGTCCTTGTGCGGCTGGACGCTAAGGTCGAAATCACCACTTTTGCAACTTTGGTACCTACAGCCACACCTTTCATGAGACACAACTTCGGCAGCACCAGAAACACTACACATTGTTTTCCCCCATGCTTTGGAAGCAGCGTTATTTCCTTGTTGGAATTCGTATAAAAAACAGTACCGCCGAATGTGCTGTTTATCAGTTGCCATCGACGTAAACTCTGCTATTCTGCGAGGTTGTGTAACTCACGTAGGCTCGTCGTTCGGTCATGTGGAACCTTGCGTGCGATCCTTTCTAAACCACTAAAGACTGCTAAACTCCTTCTCTTTTCGATGTAATTTTAAGCTCTAAGAAGGGATGTGTAAAAATTAAGTCAAATAAGTAAAATAAATTTGACTGGTGCAAATGGGCCCTGTGATCAGAAACCTGGCACTCTGATTCCGGAATTGTTTGATCTATCATTTTCTGTGTGATCACTGTCCTCTGACCTTTTCAGCCAATTGCCCTCTCCAGCAGCGATTTCGGCTCTGGCGCCCTGTTTGGCCTGCCTCAAATCCCGCGTGGCGGCCAACCTCTTCGCGGCTGAATGCATCGCCATCAACAAGGAACTCGCTCGATGGAAGCGTGTCAGCGGCGGTGGCGTCTGGCCGCTGACGGACGCTGCCATCGCCTTCTGCTCTGAGGCTGGAGCACCCCCGAGTGATGCGACTGGTCCTACTGACTCGACCGCCGCCGCCGCACCTGTATGCCCTTCGCCAGTGCTTCGTCACCGATTTTTGCACCAATCTGAGAGTGTATTGCTTGTCTGTTTCAGGCTCCTCCGACGGTTTACTTCGTCGGAGCCAAGTCGTTCGCGGGTTGGCGCACTCAGGCCCAGGTCTACTTCATCGCCACCCAGACCGCCACCGCCGCCGCTGAGGCCACCACGGTCTTCAACAGCGACGCCCTCTGTCCTCACGGCTGCCTTCTGGTGAATGCCAGGCCCTGTCCACTGCGCTGCGTACCTCCGCGCCTCTGGCATCGTCTCGTAGGCCTCTTCCCCAACGCCACCATCCCCACGTACTCCAGCGACTCCCTCCGCCTCGCGCCTGAGTCCATCGACCTGGACGAGGGGTGTTCGCAGTGCGTGGTGGTCAAGGACGACCTGATGGCGCGCGCTCAGCGCGAACGCGAAGTGCTGGCGGATGTGCTTGCATCCCTCGCCTCCTCCCACTCCTCCACCACGGTGGCGGCCACCTCAAACACCGCCTCGGGTCCAGCGCCGATGCGCAGGGACTTGGTTAGTCTCGTGGTTTCCAACCCCTCCGGGTACGTACTTGGTTTCCTAGTAGTGTCACCGCCCACTCACGTTCTAAACCAGCTAACTAGAAATCGCTTTCGAGACCGTGGGCACTGGTAAATGTCAAGTAAGCGAATTTAATTTTCTTCCATCGGAACGCCTGCATATCTACTTGCCATGTGTCAGTAGCCACGATTGTGGTTCTCATCGCCACACCTACAAGTAGCTGCCACGCGTCCCGTGTGCCTGTCAGTTACCAGCGTCTAATTTTAGTGATTGGTGTGTTTCTTGATGTGGTGAAAGACGTGGAGTTAATTGCAGGTATTGTGTGAGGCAGCAGTGTCAATTTTAATTGATTTAGCGCTCTTGGCTTTCAGGGAGCCTGGCGTCGATGATGACAAAGCCGTCTACCTCGTGCCGATGGACTTCATTAGCCAGTGGCGACGATTTGTGCGCAACCCCACCGCAAACATCCACCTTGGCTACCTGCCCTCGGGTCTGGAGGCTGAGAATGTGCTGTGTGAGCACTCTCGCCTCCTGATGCCATGGCAGGAGCTCCTTAACGAGGAGATCGTCTTCCCGGTGTCCGCTGGCGAATGGAACGTCTTCTGCCGGGCCTACTCCACCACCAACGACTACCCGCCTTTCCGTCTTGTGCTCCAGGCAGACTGCGTTGACGGCGACGTCGTGGGAGACGCTGGAGGTGGCGAAGCCTCGTTCTGCCCTGACCTACCCCCGCCCTACGATCACGTCTGTCCTGAATGCTACCCCCTGGTGCAGGAACGCCGGTTCGACTTTATTGGCGCTCAAATCTACATCCGGGTGGTCGCAGATCCTGCCGAGGTGTTGGCCTTGGAGACGAGTTCCACTGATGACACCTCGGCGCAGGTCACATCACCAAAGAAGGTAATTGACATCATCTTGTGTGTGTGGTCATGGGCTAATAAGAAGCGTCTGTAAGAATCGCCTAGATCAATCAATCATTTCAATTGCAGGGCGAGGTGGGTTGCGGAGTCGGGGGCAACACATCGCCCGCCAGTCCGTGCACGCCGTCGTTGGTGCGTCGGTCAACGCGGACTCGAACTAGTCGCGATGACTACGTCCTGCGTGTCGACAGTTCCTCCAGGCTGCAGGACATTCGTCTTCAAATGATGCGAATCATTGGGGCCGCTCCCTTCGATCAGCACATCGCCCTCGACGTGAGTCATTAGTTTGCCATTGTCTATCGATTCTTTGCGATGACCTGGCAGAAGGTCCCTTGCACGAAGATGTTCAGCTGTGTCATTGTTGCGGTCTGGATGAATGAGGACACTTCCACAGACATCTAGCCTGTGGAGGCATTTTTTTTTATTTAAACCAACTCTCTTCTCGATGGTGCACTTTGCGCGTGAAAGCGTGCGGGTGAACTTTCAGAGAAACTCGCTACATTCGCGCGCGCCCAAAAATACATGCTAGTTTAAAACAAGAAGCATTTCCCTCAATCAAAGGAAGGTAGTTGGTTTGATTCTATCAAAGGTTAATTGCACCGCATGAGTGGTGGTTTATTTAAATCACCACCTCGCTATTGGCGGCAAACTGCGGTTGAGTTTTAAGCATCGGGTTTTTAGAGAGGTTGACTGTGTGTCTGCGGGGTGAAGCCAAATTTCAATCCAAAACTGCCGTTTTGGGTAACAAGGTTTGCCTTAACACACACACACACACACACATTTTCTGCACTGTTTAAATTAGACTTGTAAGAAAAAGCAATTTTGGTGGCGGCACACAGAAGCGTTTGTCGTATTTTAACCGCTGTGTTAGATTTCATTTGTTGCATTTTAAGTGAATTAATGTGGCGCAACGTGGCGAATTAAAGCTGACCTTGAGCCGGCCAATCAAGTGAATGGATTAGTGATTGATGGAACAATGGTGACGCAGGTCTCGTGTGGGGTTTATTTTTACCTTATCGGAACTGGTAAAGAGCAAAAAACCACTTCAAAACTGTGAGTTGTCGCTGTGGTGAATTCAAGCTGACCTTGAATCAGCCAATCGGGCGACAGGGCCATGATTAGCTGCAGGGTAATAGAAGGCCTCAAGTAGCCTTTATCGAGAGTGACAGTCGGTTTAAAAAAAATTGAGCCACAAGCTTTACTGTAGTCCCTTTCCGGAGCTGTCTTATCCTTCTTACGTTCTGGTCGATGTCTTTGCGCAATTTAGGGCGTTGAGTTGACCGACAATTCGCGGACGTTGCTCCAATTGGGCATCCGGCCGGGGTCGCGACTGCACCTCTGGGTCGACGCGCCCGCTCCCGACGCCGTCAGTGAGGTCATGCGAGGGGGTTCCAACGGGGGCAGTAAAAAGTCCGCCTCCACCGCTTCCCCTAGTGCCGCCTCTAAGCCAGGTAAGCATCATGCGCAAGTCTAAACGACCACCTTTATCGCCTTTTTCCCTGTTGTGCCGCCACGATAACGGCACTTGTCGGTGAGATGAGACCTCGGCGGTTTGCGTGTGTGTGTGACCTCTTCACTCTCTCACACACCGCACTATCGATGTGTGCGATTCAGTGAGTTAATCTGACCTGTGTCGCAACCTACACGCTCATACGGCATGGGTTGTGATAAAAATACCCCTTGTTGTGATGGTTTGCTAGAGAATTCACTAGTGGTTGTTGTGGAATGGTCAATGTCTTTCTCCTAACCAATCGTTTTGCAAGGTCATCACCACCACCACTATGTGCTGTCCCCTTTTAGATCAAGTGGAAACCGGTTTCAAGGGGACGAGACTGGTCGACACGTGGTCGCCTGGCGACAGTGTATCGATTTCCAGCTGGTCAGGGTAATTCCACTCACACTCACACCAAACCCGCTGCCTTGGCAATCACGCCGCTGGTGTGTAGTAGGCACCAGCTGCTCCCCTACCTTCGTATACGTAGCAGTATACTTGTACTACCGTATTGTACTACATCTATCATAACAAAGTAAGATTATAGAGTCTAGTTTTGTGTTGTTATTTGTGGAATGATATTGCCACCGGGGTTTGGCGTTAGTCGCTCTTGACCGTTTCTCAA